TGCGTGTGTGTGGGGGTGGTTGAGTTACTGAGTGGCTCTTTGTTTTTGTTTCACTATATGTGGGTTACTTTCTGGGGATTAGGCAGGGTTTTTTCTTTTATTGTATTTTTAACGAGGGGCTGCTGGGGGTGATTAGCAAGTTCATTGTGTGAAATGTTCACATGTCCTGGTGAGTTCATTGAGCTGAGTTCATTGACCTTTTGCAGGCTGTATTTTTCAGGATTGGTAGCCAGGTTTTGTTGATTTTTAGACTCTCCTCTTTTTTATTGAAACTGTGCTGGTGATATCTGTGCTGGTGACCCAGATATGACAACATTAGGGCTGTGCAATGCTTAGAATACAAAGGCAAAAAGGTGTCCCAAAACACAGGAAAAGCTGTGACTGCTTTAAAGAATTGCAGATAGATGCTACATCCATGTCCCTGCACACAATGAAGCACCTTTTGCCTTCAAATCCAAAATGCTTTGATCTGAAGCATTTCAAAGTCAATGAGCCCTAATGCCAGTCAATATACAACTAAATGTATCTGAAAGATGGGGAAACATCTCAAATGCCTAGCCCAAGACAAGTACTACCTGCACAGAATTATGGGAGACAAATTGGATAATGCAATTTGGGATTACAGGGCTTCATTTTATTCACTTTTTGAACACATTCCTTTTTAATTACTAGAAATATTCCTTTCTGAATACTAGAAAGACTATATTTTCATTTGTTATACTGTGGACTAAGAAATCAATACAAGTGGTGGTTTGGATATCTGAAAATGCTCCCACTGTGACATAAAAAGGCAGAATAAAGGACATGCAGCAAGCTGTCATCTAAAGAATAGCTTTGACTGCAGCTGGGAGCAAGTCAGCCAATTAATTAAATTTGATCTATCCAGGCTGGAAATATTTTAGATTGCAAACTACAGCTTTGGTCAAATGTAATGATCTCCTTTAATAAAATTTAGGCAACACATTTTTATTTACTGGAAGATATGCAGATAGATTGAGCCTGTTTTACTTTGCTTTCCTATAATTGTTTCAGAACACTAAGAGATAGGCCACTATATCAAATGGATATAGTCAATTTAAAAAATATCGTCCATGTACTGTATAGACCAGAAAGATTCTTACACTAGGTTTTCATTTTTTTTCTTCTTGTGGTGGTAGTGATTATTACAGAATTCAACATGAAACTTCCAAGGATAATATAATTCAAAACTTATGTTCACATTAAAATGTCTTTTTCTTTCAAAACAATAATTATTAGCTACAATTAATTCAAGCATTAATGTCCCCTTTTCTAGTTATCTACTTCCTAAATATCTAACATCCTAGCCACTGTACTGCACTGATTCTCTAGTTTTTTTATTCCTAAAGTACACAGAAACTAAATGTTTCTATAAAATGGAATTAGATACATGTCTTGATCAGCTAAGGAAAGAGGTCCTTTTACAGGTTTAATGGAAATCCATAAATGCATTTGCTATTGCTGCTAGAATGTTATATAACAGATGCTTTGTAAAATACAGATTTGAATTATGAACTATATGCAAAACATTGTAAGCATTTAAGTAGATCAGCTATATCAGCTTTTTTATTTTGATGTTTTAGTTTTTACTTCATAATTGATATTGTAATATTATATGTTGCGTAGGATATATTTTATACAGAAAAGTTGGATGAAAGTGAAATCAAACAGATAGAACTAAATAATCACTAGCCAAGTATTTTTATTTAGTTATTGTGCACCCAGAGACTACTTAAATGGGGATTTTTGGGATTTTTTAGTATATGCTAAGGACTCAGAATATAGAGTTTGAAAAATTCTGAAGCAGTACAGTATCCCATTTTTTACTGAAATATAAATAAAAATATTTTCCCTTTTCACATTTGTCCTGTTTATAACACTCACTGATGAATCCTTTGTTGACTGAATGGAGCAGTGTAGCAGTCATTTTCTTCCAAATCTGGCAGCCTTTCCTTGTCCAGACTCATTGGCTTTCTAGGTAACCATCCTCGAAACCTGCTTAATTGCTTCTCAATTCTGCAGGAGATGAAAAGGAAGACCAAACATAAAGATATCAATACATTTAAATGGAAATAAGCATTTTTATACATAATTGAACATTTTTATGGATACAGGAGATACTAAATGCAATACTTTTCCAGACATTAATCACAATTAAGCATGGGCAATTAACTTTGCCATGACTAAACAGCCTATACGTGTGTGTGTGTGTGTGTGTGTGTGTGTGTATAAAGTTGTCAAACTAGCTTGTTTCAGAACAGATAGCAGAGAATGATTCTTCAGATCCATCTCTCATAACCACATCTTTGCTTTGCCAAACACTTTGAAAAGGAAAAGGAAAGGAATAAAGCATGTAGATTTCTCTTCCTTTTAAAAGTCTCACAGATCTTCAGTTCAAAGGGCTGGTCAGAGCTTTCACGATTGTAGAAAGTAAGAAAAGATGCTATGGCAATAATCTCAGAATGCTTTCTCCACTAATTTTTAGCACAAAATTTCAATATAGCCCATTTATTAGCAATTTCATTTTCAAAAGGTTTAACTCTTTGACTGAAATTTTAATCTTAATTGAAAAACCACAGTAAATAAAAGACTTCCTAGAGCTATTATGGAAAGGTCTGGCAGCAGAACTTGAGGGAAATGATTTTGCTTCCATTTTCAACCTGCTCATATATCACAGAGAGTGATTTTAAAAAGCATTGCTCTCTTAGTTTGTTTCAGTAATACTTGTTTTGGTCTAACTAAGTGATTATGAAATGTAATACTAAGTGATTATGAAAAGCTAAGCAGGGTAGTATCTGGTTAGTACTTGGACAGGAAACCCTCGAAAATTTAGAAGTGGAGGCTAGTCTGGGAAATAAATAATATTGTGGAAGAAAACAATATTATGGAAGAAAACAAATCACTGCCAAGAAAGCTGCATGAATGTACCAATGAAGACACCAAGAGCTGAGTTTTATTTATTTCAAAGAGACTCAACACTTATTTGAGTATGTTACAAAACATATGAACTCCCAGAAGGTATCATGCAAACTGGTTTTCCATTCCCAGTCCCAAGACTCTGAGCTTGCTTTTCAATTAAAGCAAAGTAGCTAAGGAGACTAGTCAGTCACTATATATTGTACTGTCCAGTCAAGTTTGAGGCTGTGCAAATAGGATATACAGACAACATAAACTAATAGCCACTGTTGATATTTGTTCTCTTGTGTTACATTGTACTTAAGATTAATGGCATTAACATCAGCGACATTATGATCTATATAGCAAATTATGAATGAAGCAAATTACTGTGCCATAAAGGGTGAAAGGTGAAAAAAACCCCAAACATTTCATGATATAATAAATAAGAATAGAACAGGGCAATTTGTGGGCCTCCAAAAGTTATAGATTGTATCTTCCATGATAATGCACCATTATCTACACTGGCTACAATTGATAGGAGATAGAGGGATGTTCCCCATTTCAGACCTAGAATTGTCTGAATGTGGTCGTCTGAATACCTATTCCTAGCTGAAATGTGCTATCTGTATTCATAATTTATCATTTTTTTTGTAGGATTTTTTATATTATTACTTGGTGAATACTGTGTGAAATAAATTTACTTTAATCATAATTTATTTTCCAAACAAGTCTGTATCTTGTTTGTTTCGATCATATATTCAGTGAATCTCTAAGGTGCAGCTCTTTAACAGACTATTTAGTATTTAATTTCATTTACCAGAAGTATTCCTATCTCCATTTTTTTTTGTTTCTTTCAAAATTTCCTACTGCTTTTATCTGTTATGCTTTTAATCATCAAACTTTGGCTTCTTAAGGAAAAGAAAAAAATAACAAATTTAAGATGGACAATGGGAGCTTTTCTCTAATAGTGAAAAGCAGATGCAAAAACTCCTTTTTATCTTAGGAACCAGCTGGAAGAAAAAAATTAATAGCCCCTAAACCTAATCTCTACCTACAAACATCCAAATACCGCAAGCAATTGTATTCCCTGTGACATTCCATGGAAGTGAACGTTGGATTTTGAAGAAGCAGGATAGGAAGAGTATTGACTCCTTTGAACTTTGGTGTCGCAGAAAACTCTTGAGAATACAATGGACAGCCAAGAAAACAAACAAATGGATTATCAAACAAATCAACCCAGAGTTCTCACTAGAGGCACAAATGGCCAAGCTCAAATTATCATACTTTGAATATATTATGTGGAGACCTAGCTTTCTGGAGAAGGCTTTGATGTTGGGAAAGGAGGAAGGAAAGAGAAGAAGACAACCAGCAGTAAGGTGGATGGACTCAGTTACAGTGGTGATGAGTTCATGAATGGAAAACCTGAAAGACCAGGTTAGGGACAGATCATCATGGAGAAAATCTATCTATATAGTTGCTAAGAGTTGACACTGACCTGATGGCACATAATCAATGAATCAATCACAACCTACAACTGCTAATTTCATTAATGGTCTCATATCCTGTTTGAGGATACAACCAAGAGAATTGCCATTAGGATGGTGCAAGTACTTTGGATTTAATCTCAAAAAGCCCCTTTAATGCATGCAGGAGCATGAACATAGCCCCTTCCTGTAATTTCTTAAAGAAGCCACCCCTTACCTGAGATTATACAGGAGCTGGGAAGCCTTCATAGCCATGTTACAGACCTTTAGGTTAATGAAGTGGTATGCAAATATTATCATCATATTTGAGAAATAAATGGTAATGTCTGGAAGAGCTCAGTTAAAAATTATCTTTGTAATTACTGCTTTTGCAGAAACAATATTTTTGTTTGCAGATTTTTCTTCTGTGATTTAACTTTCTGATTAAACTGAATTCCAAAACAAACAAACAAACAAAACCCCCAAAACCCCACTAACCTGTTCAGGATCTTGTAGCGGCGATGCAGGTAATAGATTTTTCTCCTGGAAGAACAGCAAAAATGAAGCCAGTCGAGAAGAAAACCCATCGTCAGTTACAGTATGAACTAGCAAGGAAGGAAAGGAAATTGAAGATAGAATCCTGTAAGAGGTGGAAGAAGAAACTAAAAAGAGATTAACAGCCAGAACCACCAAAAACGTCCTTGAATAGTGTCAGGTCTTGGGGAAATTGTGTGTGTGTGTGTGTGTGTATGTACACACACATACACACACATGTATGTATGTATATGTGTATGCATACATGTATGCTCATTACTTTCCTTGTTTCCAATTAAGTCATGCACCTTGATGCATTTTTTGTTCAATGAATCTTGGAACCTGAAACTAAATAAAATGCTAAGCTTTTATATTCATAATAGATGAATTTAAAGATGAGAATATAAAAGAAAATGCCACTGGGAAAATCCTTAGCACTAAAAGATTGTTATAATTATACCTGCAGTACATGTACAGGTGATGCTGGTGCTAGTGATGCAGTTTTCAAGAGGTTATTTTCACGCACAATAGTAGTGTAGTGATACTGAGGCATGTAGTAGGTGTTTTCCGTACCAGTTTTTACATTTCTTATATCTGTGATGTGAGTGTGAGACCACGTTGGCTAGAATTGCTTTTGCATCCTCCATTAACAATGTGACATAGGAGGTTCATGCGACAGTGCTACTAATTCAGTTTAGTATTATGTGCAAAATTTTGTGCTGAAGAGAAAGTAAGAGAGAGAGAAGATAGAGCACAAGATATTTCTGGCATTATGGGCTGAAGGCCAGTTGCTTAACCAAGGGCAAGCAGCAACATAGTAGGGGCTTATTCACACTGCCACCTTTCCCAGTGACCATATGGCCAGCAACCATTTTGAGGGCAGGAATGGAGGACATGGCTTTGTACTCACCCCCTGCCCACTGCAGTGCAACCTCTGGGCATGTCTTCCTGCTCCCCTTTCAAAGTCCTGTTGCCTGCTTCTTTCAACTCAAACACTGCTGTCTGGTTTCCCCATAGCGCTTTAATTTATTCTAGGCCAACACTTCACTTTGATTAGCTACCTTGCAGAGACAGGATCACCCCCTCAAGTGGCTCAGTGTTTGTTGCCTTGGAGGCATTCTGGAGTTATAGGTGAAAGATGGTGAAACAGTGCATTGGTAGACTTATTTAAAACAAACAAACAAAAAAAAGTCCAGTGGAAAAGTCACTCAGGAAAAGAATAATAGTCATTAAAAACATTTCTGTTAGGCTATGAATCAGCAACCTTCTGTATCTCACATATGCTGTGTAAGTGTTCTAATCACTTGCACTATTACTAGTAATAGTTCTGCAACTAGTGGAGTTAGAGACCACTAGAGAGCATGGGAATATAGAACTTTTCATTTCAATGCTGTTTGTTGTATCTGTACATGTATGTATGTGTGTGTGTGTATGTGTGTGAGTATACACACATACACACTGCATACACACAGCCACTCCTCATTAAATGATTACCTCACTCATGCGACCATTCACAAATATGATGGTAATAAATGGTAATAAAAAATTCATTTTCCAACCAATGTGCATATTTACAACCAAATTTCATGCACCTGACAACACCACATGCCAGAGTGAGAGTAACACTGGTGAAGCTGTACAAGAGAACTTTATCTGAATGAGATGGCAGCAACCAGTGATTTTTGCAGCATCTCTCTCTCTTTTAGTCACGTGTTCACTAAGCGACCATTTCACTCAATGACCTGGTTGCTGGAATGGAACGCAGTCGCTAAACGAGTGGGTATATATATACAGTGGTACCTCGGGTCACGAACTTAATTCGTTCCGTGACTCTGGTCGTGACCCAAATTGGTCGCGACCCAAATCAAATTTTCCCATAAGGTTCAATGTAAATACGGTTTTTGTTGCAACCCGAATCAAATTTTCCCATAAGGTTCAATGTAAATACGGTTTTTGTTGCAACCCGAATCAAATTTTCCCATAAGGTTCAATGTAAATACGGTTTTTGTTGCAACCCGAATCAAATTTTCCCATAAGGTTCAATGTAATTATGGTTAATCCGTTCTGAACCATATGTATTTTTTTTTTTAAACCACAAAAATATGACACAAAGCACACTACAAAGAGAGAGAACGCTAACCTTGCTCAACGCGACTTCTGGCGTGGAGGACAGGAAGGCGGGTGGGGAGGCGGTTATTGCTTGGAGGGAGAGTTCCCCTCCCTACAGGAAGCCATGACCATGTGTCACGGCAGGGAAAATGGCCGCGGATCCTGTTCATCACCCGATCTGGTGTTCACGAACGGAAGCAAAATTTTGCGAACGATGCTGTTCGTGACCCGAATTGGTCGTGAACAGAAGCGTTCGTGACCCGAGGTACCACTGTATTCAGTTTAGCTTTCTAAGTATGGAAAATGATTGGCAATTGCTTTTCTGGTACAGACAATTAGGAGGACTCAGCAGCACAGCAACTGTCCAATGGTAGCCTGCAGTCTGGACAGAATACCTTGCACATGAATGGATCTCAGCTTGACCAGAATGTTCATAGGCTGATCTAGAGTCAAGCTGGCATGAGAACAGGACAGGAGCAGCTTAAGTATGGATATGCTCCCAGACAACTGAAATTAGAAATTCTTTCTAGATGTGTTGGGATTAAAGCTATCATCATCTTACACTGCATGGCTATTGGCAGCTGTAGTCCAACACATCTAGGTTGTGCAGCTAGATTGAAGAAAGCTGCTCGAACCTCTCGGTTCCTGCTGCACAGGTCAAGTCTGCTCAACTAAGATTTAATTTTAAATAAAAACAGAACTATAAATTGATAACAGTCCCACTATATTAAGAATAGGTCTTAAGCTCCAAAAAAAATTACCTCACTATTTAAGGGAAGAAGTATTATTAAGAAAATTGAGATGAAATTGTCATAGGGCTTAACTAAAGATTATTGTATTTCAAAGTCTATAAGAACATTACATGCTTAACTTAGCTGAGAAACGTAGTTTGGTTATTAGAAGCAGAGATGTCTTTTCCTTTTTGTATGTCAGAATTGCCCATGAAAAGGAAAAATGCATAATTTGTTTATGAAATTCACTACTATAATATGAGATGATAGTTACTAGAGTAAGTCCTATGCAGGAGATCAAGTATAGAAATAAACCAAATGGAGAGCTACACTGAGCAGAGAGGCCTCATATTTATTGGGCCTGCTCAATTTCCACACATTAATTGGCTTTTCTAATCTAGTACTCTATCATAAAGAGCTTATCATTTGGGGAACTTGGTACAAGCACTCTGTCCCACAAGCATCACAGATGCCCATATTCATGAGTGTGTGCACCATCATTCTGTAAGTGAATTCCCAAGTGTACTTCTAGAGATCTAAACTCAGAGGAGAAAAAGCAGTAGCAGATGGACAACACCATCATATTCTTTTCATAAATTTCCCCAAAGCATACTCTGGTTTTTCTTCAGATCATATACCTTTTTCCCCTTTTACTAAAAATAGTTGGAAACAGAATGCTAGCCACAATACCCTTTGGTCAGATTCAAGCAGATATATGCTTTTAATAAATAAATGTTTATTTAATTTGCAAGACATAGTTGTTAAACTTATACACAGACACTTTATTATCCAAACCTGAATAGTTTTTATACTATGAATAATAAAATCTATTAATATTATTAATAGATATTTTTTAATATTATATGTGATATTTTTCAGCATGTGTGAATTTTTTTTATTCTACATCTCTCCATGCTATTTTCCTTAATGTACCTTCTACTATACAATGCCCCTTGCAAACAAAACACCTGATCACCTTTGCTCAGGGAAAAGTTTGCAGTAAAAATACAAAGTATTTATTTAAGGGTTGTTTCACAGAAAAGCCTCTATTTTTCATAGCACAGAGTATGTGTGGAGCAGAAAAAGGTGTAATTTATAATGCAAAGTCTGAAAAGACAAAGCAGTAGAGTGCACTCATCTAGATAAATTGATTTTATAATCATATTACAGTTTGAGTTTGAGTTATAATAATTTTAATTCTTTAGAATTCTAGTTTTGCTTTTTATATTTAAGTTTGCATCTTATAATGAAAATCCAGTCAATACTGAAATCATTACAGTTTTAATTCCAACATCATATGTTTGCAGGAGGGAGTTAAAATTTTAAAGGTCATTTTTTGCAATTAGCTCTGCATATTAATAGCTATTTAGAGCCTAATTAGATCAAGAAACTTTACATAGTGAGAATTTAATTTTTGTTTAGTGTAGTGTATCCTTCTGAAAGTTGGATTAATCATATTTCTTTTAGAAAACCAATATAAATCTATAGAGGTGACAGATGAACTAAGTTATTATGTTATTGTTAGCCAGCTGCGTGTTAAACAAAAATATATTGAAATGCCACATTTCTCAAACAATATGAAGTAGGAATCAATTTTAAGAATTACAAATATATTCTTGTAATGTATTTTATTTTAGAAAAAATTATACACAGTTAAACATACCAAAATTGTCATAATGATGTGTCAAATTAATTTGGCCATTATTGAAACACAACATGTTAACAATTCTTCTTAAAAATAACATAAATATTTAATTTCCTCAATGTGAATACTTAAATATTTAGGTGAGTTTTGTTTCTAGTGATGCAGCATACATCATGGCTGGTCATAGGCAATAAATATGCCAGACGCATCTCAGACAGGCCCTTTCTGTGTAGCCACACATCCTTGGATGTTCATCACCTTTCACTGATTGCAAAGAAATGCCCATTTAAAAAACAGCAGGCGCGATTTTACAGGGGCTCCAGCAGTGAAGAGGCTAAAGGACAGAATAGCCCATGAAACTAGCAGCACTGCAGAATGTACCATATTAAGTCAAAGTCAAAACGGAATCAAAATTGCAGCTAAATCATAATTACTTCAATTGAATCATAATCACTTCAACTTCATGTTCATGGTAAATTTTCCCAGAATGTAATTCAACCTACCTGAAAGGCATTCTTACATTCATAAGTTCTGCAAATTTTCCCAGTACTTCCCAAGGGGCATGCAACTTCACAAAGATGATATCACTGTTTGATGAAGATGACTGCAACAGAAAACAAGTTAAAGAATTTCTCCTGAATACATCAATATAGAACAAAAGGCATATTACTTTATCATTCCTAAATTAAACAGATTTTTAAATTTTTGTTTTAAACTTCTGCAAACCTTGGGAATCTCCCAATCCTGCTGATGCTTCTTTCTTGAGGGTAATACTGTTTTAGCTGTTAACAATAGAATAAATTATTCCAAAGCATTGGTGAACAAGGAAAAGGTCTGTTTTAGTGTGGAAACCATTTAGAAAGTAGGAATATGATAACCCTAGAAAAATTAAACAGAATATTTTGAAAGTATCCTACAGAACAAACTGAAACAGTTTTGATATATTGTTTAAAAATCATAGAAGGTTTAAAAAATTATTCTCAAATACTTTCTTAATTTAAGTGGTTACATTTAAATTACAGTTAAGAGTGTTGATGGCCACAAAATCGTCTTTTAAGACCCAAGACTAATTTACTTCAGGTGTTTCATTCACAGACTCATTAATGCAATGTATGAAAATCCCATTCAGAACCACCTTCCTGCAAGGTGATAAGATTGCAAGTTGTAGAATACTGGAGAGCTTGTACAAGTAATTATGCTTGTAAATCAGCTTTAGCATAGTACAAATGTTTTTGTGATTTCCAGCTTGAGAATTCCCCAATTCCTTCATCATAAATTGATTTCAGAACACTGTTTTAATTATTACATACTCAATATGGTTGTGCAAAGAGTTGAAAAAGTGATTAAAGTCTGTACGAAGCACCCTTTGAAAGCTGCTTCATAAGGCATCATGCCTACTACCTCCTGTTTTTAAAACTGAAGCCAAACAGGCATATTGGCTTGTTTTGCATTGATCCAAGCCTCTTAACTAGAACAAAGAGAAGTGATTGAAATTACAGTAAAACCAAGTGTGTAGGTTTTAAATCACATATATTGTGTTGCTCTTTTGAACTGATCAGATTTACTATTGAATTATCTAGCTATCATGCAGTTATAGGTATATTCAGGTTTATTAAGTGCATAGCCATAAGCCATTACACAAAGCTTTCACAAAGCAAGACACAAAACCATAAATTTAGTGTTCACTTATTTAATACAAAGTATACAGTACCTATATGAACAACATAGATATTGGTTTTGTGTTTGTCTGTGTGCTTTTTATAATACATTAAATTCATTCAAGCTCTGGCCAGAAAGAGTATTCCCTAACTTGGAATCAAGCAGTGAGTACACTTTCTAATGCAAGTACACCGAGTACACTTTCTAATTCATACTGTATTTATGAAGACCACAAACAGACAAGGGTGGTCAGCATATTCTGAGGGCCATAATGGAATACAAATGAGGAGATAGTCCCTTTCTAAGAAGGCAACAATCTAAGGCAGGTTGTTGTGTGCAGCAGAGTTACAGTTTCCAAGCAATCTCTAAGGAAAGACTCACACAGACTGTATTAGTTAAAAATGAAGACTCACACAGCCACATCAAGATCTAGGGACATCTGCAGCTGGAATACTATATAAAATTCCAAAACACCATACTTGAAAAAGGACAAGAACTAAAAAAAGTTCACAATAGGGCAAATGAAATGATCAAGGAACAGGTCAGCATCGTTATTATGAGGAAAGGAAAAGAACATTTGGAATGTTTTAGCTTAGAATAAAGGTGACCAGGAATAGGGTCATGATCAACAATGGTATGGACAAAATGGACAATATTTTTTTCCCCTCCCAAAACACTAGGATCATTGGTTATCTAATGAGGTGATTGGAAGGAAATATAAAACGGATAAAAGAAAGTACGTCTTCGCACAGCACATAATTATCACAATGCCAATTCATGCAGGAAGCCATATGCTAGATCTGGTTTGTTTGTTTGTTTGTTTGTTTGTTTGCCTCAGAGCAAATAATATGTGATCTGAAGGTGGAGGACATTAACATCAGTCCTTTGTCATGATCAGGCCACTATTTGGTCCCCTTGAAACTCACGTCCATCACTAATCTTTGTATGTTGCCATCTAGCAGATAATAAATAGTATCTAGCATTAAGTACTAGCAATTTATAGTGTTACTGTATCTGGCAATCATTGTTGACGTTATAAAGTCTACCTTCATGACTGATGACAGGATGATGGAATTACTAGTGCAGAAATAATAATTGTGAATGAAAAGGGAGTCTATTCTCTAAAAAAGGACAGCACCCAACTCCTCTTCATGGATAATAACTTTTGTTCAGCTGACTACTATGGCATATAAGGAAGAAAGAAAATTAAAGGACCAAAATAAATTGTGTTTAAAATAGAGTAAGAATACCAATTTAAACAACTTGGGAAATGATGATTCAAAAACAAAGCGAAATAAAGTTATATCCAGGATAATATATTAGCACAGAAAGTGTTGAATATGACTGAAAAGTTCTACTTAAAACTTTAGGTAAAAAAAAAATTAAATTGAAATGTTTTGTTGTCCATCATTCACCCTAAAGAAAATGTCATCTTTCATGGTTTTTGTTTTAATTACATTTTTACATAACCGAAGCCCTGCCATTCAAACACATAGGGATGGAGGTATTAAGCCTGGGTGAATCCCAAAGACAGATGGCTAGAGGAATTGAAAACTTTGAAGGGAGATCCTTTCTTAAACAGAACAAAACAAAAACCTAAGCTGGTTTGAGTAGATCATGAAATGATTATATTGAACTTATATAAACTGCTTGTTTACATCTCTTACATGCAATATTTAGGTAGTTTCACCAAACCCTGAAAGTTTTCACAGTATTATAAATATTCAAAACATAAAACTGAAGGCAGTCAGAATGTTGGATGGTTACAAAGGCTACCCAGTGAGTCCATGGGCTTTTGAAGGCCACCATTCAGCCTTAATCTATTCATCAGCTTTTGTCTTACTATATAAAGTCTGATCCTTGAGAAAATTTACAAAGGCCCATCCTGGATATAACGTTATTTTGCTTTGTGTTGGTTGCATATCAGATTTCCTGTCATGTTGTTATATGCAGTTGGAGTTTCAAATATCTAACTTTCCAGACCTCATTTTGGATCAAGTTTTAAGTCAAATCAGAAAGCCACTGAATCAGACTGAGATAAAGCAGGCCATTGCTTAAATCACTAGATTCTGTTTAATCAAATATATAGGTCAATGCACATATTTAGTTAATGTCTGACCCTCTTGAAATCAGCTATACTGTATGTTATAAATTGCAATGAAATACTCTTGCTTCCAAGCCCCCCTACCTCTTTCTCCATCTGAAGTCCTTCTGCTCTGATATTTCTTTCAAATACTTCCCTTTTCTCTGCTTGTGAGTTAGATTTTCTGTACACCAAGATATAGTCAATCCGACATTTTCCATCCCTGAAGTATAACCCACTGGATTTATTTTTTCCTGGAATATCCTGTAAAGGCAGTTAGTACATTCATCAAAAAAACACTAGGGCTTTAACAGTGTTGGCTAGCAAAGGACTTCAGAACAAAATATCTGAAAACTGCGAATATACCTCACATAATAACAGAACAGAACAGAATTTATTAAAACACATAAGAAACTTCCATATAATCATGTCATATGTAGTTGTGATCATCAGACAGTGGCTCTCCTATTGCAGCTATTTTCTGAGTGTGCCTATTACATGTTTTCAAAATTTCATATCTTCTGTCCCAATTGGTGGCCCTGCCAGTTCTTTTTTTAAAAATAACTTAGATCCATTATAATTCAATATTTAGCTACTGAATTATTATAATTATAATTCTTAATTGTAATAATAATAATTATTATAATTGAATAATTAGCTATTCCTCTGAGTAGAATCTTCCAGGCTTGTACATTCTATTTAGGAACATTTATTAATTGTTCCTTCTCCATGGATACTCTGGGAGATGGTAGCACAGAGGCAACCTTTCTCTGCAACCCTTTGGAATTCTTTTTCCCACAAAGTTAGAATGGCTCCCTCCATACTTGTGTTTCAGAAACAGGTAAAGGCTGTTTTTCTTTATCATGCCTTTGGAGGATATGTAAAAGAAATGCTGGCTTTTATTTTGTTCCTGGAGGTTATGATTTTCATGATTAGAGGTGATTATTCTACATTTGTTATTTTATTTTTAGTAGGCTGCATATAAATAGCATTAAATAAATAAATAATTTGTTATTCCATGCACTGCTTTAATATGCTTGTTTTATTTTAGACTGTCAATTATATGACATGGCAAATGTTTATTTTCAACACAAGAATTAGCTATGCTGCCTGGAGGGTCTGGGGATGCAATTCAGCACATAACCTGAAAGATACAAGAATGATGAAAACACTGTGATTTTATAGCATATTGAACCTACAGCTCTGTTTGAGAAGTAAATTGAGAAGTACGGCATTATTAACTCAGAGCTACCTTACATTCTACTTAAAGGAAACCCATAAATAAAATATTTGTATGAAAGTTCTTACCTCTTCAATTGATTCCAATCTGCTAGTATCATCTGAAGTACTAGTCAAGTTACCATGGTGAAGCAAAGACTCATCATCTTTGGAAGAGTTTGTTACTCCTTCTAATTCATCAAAGATAATATTGACATCCTTAGCTACTGAAAAGCAATGATGAAGAACTAAATGTTGGTGCTTTAAGTAATAAAAATATCAACTCTATGTACTTCAAAACTTTTGGAAATCTTTTCAAAACTACAAAAGGATGTGGCATGGAGGAGCTCAACAGGACAAGGCTGGCCTTTGTAATAATTATATAATGTGTGTCTATTATAACAGATCATGTTATGTGAACAAGCAGAGCATCTTCTAAGTCACAGTGATTCACGCATACATGCTCTGTGTTTTGACCTACAGTACAGCTTTTAAGTCCATGATAAATCATGGCAACCATGTAGCTTCGTAATATCTGACAGGAATTCCAGTGTCTGTTATTCATTTTTATGTCCACCCTACAGAATTTATTTTCCAAGTAGTATAAGACATAAACCCATTTTCTTAAAAAAGCCTTAAAACTGTACTTCAAAATAGTGTCAAACTTTTATATTTGGGATAGGAATACCTTCTATTGATTCCATTTAAACAATATAGTAATAACATTTCAATACATTTTTATTTTTCATTCATGAAACAAACAAAAAACAACCAAATAAATGATAAATAGTGTTATATGCATGATCAAGCTGATCCTAATTTGTTACAGGGAAACTTTTTTATCCCCACTTCCAGTTAATCTGCTTCATGTTTATTCATGTGTATTGTACACAATTATTGCAGAATGCCAGCTTGGGATGTATGCATATGTATAAACACCAGTTATTTCAGAAAAGCGAAAAATGAGCCTTGTATAAAAACAGGTGGGATATAATTCTAATAAATATTTGTCAGGTCTAGTCCTCTTATTCACACTCATAGGTATATCTATTAAAATTTATTTGCCAGTATCAGGTAAATATTTAGTCTCAACAACTATTCTTTGTTTCTAAAAATGATTAGATATAATATGAAGGTTTTTTTTTTGCTTTGTTAAACAGTGATAATTATAGCAATAAATACATAACAATAGTGTAAACAGAAAAAAGGCAAATGTCAAATACATCTTTTTAAGTTATATAAAAATAACTATAACTAAATATATCAATTAACACATAACATTATAAACACATACAGCAAAACAAAAAAGAAAAAGGGAAGAGAGAATAGGAAATGTATACTATAGACAATTGATCAAATGACTCATAAATCCTCTTCTTAAACCTCTCTTGACAAAAGGCTACAAATTTGACAAACGGCATGTACTATATCAGCAATGGACTGCTAGCAGCTGTCATATAGTTTCATCTTTACATCTGTTAGTATTCTTCTGACTAGCATCCTATCTCACTTCACCCCTGTGCATGAAGGATCCATAGTTCTTAATATCTTGGTAAATTCCAAATATTAGAGATATAGGAAAAGAGATTATATGTTTCTTTGATAATCAGCAATCTCTCAAAGGTCATGTTGATAATTCTTAGAATTTCAAAGCAAAATAGGACAAGCCAAACCACGTGAGTTAATGTTTCAAGTATTTTGTTGTAGCTCCCATAGCAACCCTTATGGAATGTTATCTGCGGGGGTTCAATATACAGGAACCAAACTTTTTTGTTGCATTAACTGCATTTTAAGATCAGGAGAGACTACTTTTACCATTTTTAAAACATCCTGCCATTTTGCCAACATTTGCAAAAACAAGTTATTGAAGCTTATTCTACTTTTTGCTCAGGGAGAATGGGAATTCTGACATGCCTCATAGTCAGGCCTTAACTGTATTTAAAATTTGGATAAGACTGAGAATGTAGAAAATCAGATTCATATTTTCTAACAGGCACTTGAGCATTATGCAGACTAATCCCACTAAAGAAAATTGCTTTATTAGTTTATGAAATCATTTAAATATTGAGAATGAATAAAAATAAGATGTGTATTTTAAAATATAAATCAGTCTCAGAGTTAAATCAATCATAATTACAATTGTTATTTAGCTGTTCAATCTCTTTCAGTTCCTCATGCCCGTGGACATAACCTCACCAGGATTATCTGTCACTAACTGCTTCTTTGAGTTGTTGTAAATTCTGGTTTGCGTCATCAGTGATAGTCACCTTATCTTCTGTCAGCTTCTTTTTCAGTAGTCTCAGATTTTTTTCAGGCATCAGAGTCTTCTCCAATAACCCTCCCTTTCATATTTTGTGCCCAAAATATTTAAGGTTTAGCTTCATTATAAGAGCTTCTAGTGAGCAATCTGCTTTTATTTTATCTAATACTGAATGATTTGTTCTTCTGTCCAAAATATTCTCAACAGTTTTCTCCAGCACCCCAATTCAAAAGCGTCAAAGGATTTTTTTTTAATCCAGCCTTTCTTTTAGTCCATCTTTCACAATATGGCACTTTATGCTAAAATATTTTGTTAAAGGTGGCTTGGAAATGGTTTAGAAATCACAATGGTTAGGTTCACTTGGCACACTAAACTAAAGCCAACAAAGACACTTTATCATTATATTAGTTTATTTAGTATGTCTATACATTCAGGTGGTGGTAAAGAACAAACCGTAATTAAATCTTCTGAAGAAGATTGTGGGAGCATTTGGGTGGCATGAGAAGGTTGGCAGTGGGATCTGCCCAGTGGCTAATGCAAATGCTGGTCTGAGTCCTGTGGCTCTTGCGAAGTTTACCATCTTGGGTGGCCACATTCTTGTCTCCTTCAGGGACTAAGGACTACAACTGCAGGGAAGTAGAAAATCTACTTCCCTTTTTTGTCTGTCTTAGTGCTTGTCATTTCTGCATTTACAGGGGAACTGGATATTGGGAATTAAAGGGTTTTTTATCATGTTGTTGGATGGATGGAAGAGAATAGTTACTTTTTTTAATCAGGGAGGGCTAAGAAGAGGATTTTATCTCTTTTCTGTATGAGAGGCAGAGGAGGGCAGGTGTGGCTTCTCCTGGTCACTTCACTCCAGTCTATAGGGATTCTGAATGGTTGTTTCAGATTGTATTCAACCTGGTAAGAACACACTGGATTTAGGGACACTTGGATGTTGTAGTAATGGTAGGAAGGTGGCTGATCTGATTAGTACTACTGGCCCACTGAGTACCTATGCAGAAATGAACCAGGGTCTTGCTAGGCAGTCTGTGCTGTGATAGTTGGCATTATCTGGGATTTTATTGCTGGGTAAGAGCTGGCAGGATTCTGGGGAAAGTGCTTTGTCACAGAGAATAGCATGGGTAGTAGCATTCCAGTTTTGACAGGTGGAAAGAGATAAGATAGGAGACTGGGGAAGGGCCACCCTCAGGGAAGGCATTCTTGGTGTCTTGTACCAATTCTGTATTACCAAAACCTGGTTGGGCACAAAATGGGGTCTCCCCTTATGCAAACGTGCCCTCCTGGGTTTCAAGTGTGGCACCAGCTCTAATTCCAGGTGGGAAAGGCTTTTAGGGGCACTGCCCCATACATAACCCTATGAGAATGTGAGAACCTATTTGTGTGGTTAGGCTTAATGAAATAAATGGGATTGCTACTTCTGTACTGGCCTCCCTGCTGGCTATCTGACCTACTTGATTTGGTTGCTAGGCTGGTAGTGGAGTTTCCCAGGCTTATGGTCCTGGGAGATTTCAATATTCCATCCTTGGCCACAGAATCCAGAGAGGCTTGGAAATTCAATATTATAATTTTAACCACTCTAGCTCATTTTTCAAATCACATATATAAACACATATTATATAATTAAGACTCACAAAACAACTTACTTTCTTGTATTGCATTAAGAATCTCTGAAAAGTCCACGTGTGTCTTCTGAGCATCAGGCCTTATTGATATTTGTGTTTCCAGCTCACGACCATGATATTGCTCTCTTCTATCTAAAGAAATTGAAGAGATTGGGTGGAGTTTGCAACAACTTAGTAGTTACTGCAACAGCAATGAGTGGAAAAGATACCGTGGCAGCAACTACTATTGTTGTATAGATATTTTTCTGTATAGTGCAGGGAAATATCAGTCCAAGAACATATTAATCAAATTACAGTACAATGTATTTCTCACTCCCAGCAGTGTCTATGGATCAAAATGACATGTGAGATTAGGTCATGACACAAATGACATGATTATCAATGTGTGTCATAACCTCTAATGTGAGTACCCAAGTCATGGAATTTGTGTGATGTCATTACACACATGTTGTTATTTGCCCTCCTTGCCTCCATAGACACTTTTCTCACTCACCTACACATGCATTTGTAAATCAAACTGTAGTTTCAAAACATGTCACTTCAGCCAGCTAATACTGTTTAGCTTCAGTTTGCCAAATGAATACAAAATGTAGCATTACAATATACAGTAAAGAAATTATTTTGAATCAGGGAAAATTGCACTGCTTAACAATATTTTATAAAACATAACAGAGGCTGAATAACCCATTTCCCAAAATGTGTTATTGGGAAATCGTCTTTTCACACACGCAGTTTTAACAATTTAAGTTTAAAAGGTTTATTACTGCACACATATTGCAATACAGTAGAGTCTCGCTTATCCGACATAAACGGGCCGGCAGAACGTTGGATAAGCAAAAATGTCAGATAATACACAGTAATGGTTGAGTGTGGTAAAAAAAAAAAAAAACAACGGTCCGCTGTGACTGTTGCAATCGATTTTTGCGTTGCGGCGCCGCACCGTCAGAAGCAACAAGAAAGAGTACACTCACGCTCGCAAACAAGCGGTACACTTTTCTCGTCCCCGATTTATGCGTGTTGTTGTGTTTTTTTTAGGGGCGTCAGATAAGATGGAATGTCGGATAAGCAAAGGTCGGTTAAATGAGACTCTACTGTACTACATAAATCTAATCAGGGTTTAACTCAGGCATAAATAAATTTCCTACTAAAGCTGTCAAAACTGAAGACTGAAATATTCCTAATATATATTTGTAGCAGGGAAGAGCATTGGCATCAACAAAGGAAAGGGGGCAAATGATGACACAAGCATAATGATGTCATCACACAAATGCTGCTATATTTGCAAGTATGTCATCATGATGTTTATGTGATGACAGCATTGTGTGCCTGTGACCATTTTAGTCTCTTTGGATCTATGGATACTGCTGGGGAGGAAGTGAGGTGTCTGTTACCATCACCCACACGAGTTTGCCAAATTCATCCCTGGATCGCCACACACTGTTAGTAGTTGTATAACTCTAGTGCAAATTTAACACTGAAGTAATAACAAACAAAGGATTTTGAAGAAAGACAACAAAGGAAGGTTAGTTTCAATATTACATGAGGCTGAGATCCACATACCAAACTAGCACTCATTAAGTTGATCAAACAAAGAGATAAAGGGATAAAGAATGGGAACAAAGAATGAGCTACATAGTTGTGCAAAGGCAGCATTGAAGATAAGTAAAATATCCTGGCATAACTGCTCTCTGCTTTCCTTGCCAATGTTATATTTCTAATTCCAGTTTTCTCATGATTTTGAGGCACAGAGACTGAATCTTAGGACCAAGCAGACAAAATCTGTTTCTTGTCCTCCTTGCTTTTCTGAGAACCTTAAACCAAGACTTCCTGGGGACAAAGAAACTTCTAACTTCCCCTCCTTCCCATTTCCACTTTCTGTCTCTTATTGAAGGAGGGCAGTGGCTTAGAATTATGGGGTACTTAAGGTTTCCATGTTCTGGTAGGCCACTCACTTAAGAGTCAAGAGTTAACATGCAGGATCCTGGATCTTCTACCTTCCTGCCTTTAGACTGACACTAGTGGAAAGATGCTGGAGGTCTAAGGGCTCCAGCTTCAGTGTAGCCTTTTAGAAGTTTAGAATTCTTATTTTAAACACAAACCATAATAAAGCTTT